GTGTTTTATAAAACATCCTTGAAAATGGAATGAAAATGTTGCAGGTTAAATTTACTGTTTAGTTGCAAATCAATGTCCTGATTTCTATGTCTGATTTTAAAGCCTCTGTTAGAGTTTCTTCTTCCCTACAATAAATTCTTATCTCCACACAGCACCAGAGTGGAATATTCACTTGGTAATGGTCTGTGATGGTAGAGTAAGCACTCAAAAGGTGCTGAGATGTTGAGGGACTCCTGGCCCAGCACCTTGGAGTTGGGTTGGTCTGGACAAACTGTCCTTTGCCATAGCCTGACTTTCTTGGGCTCAGTTCAACCTCTGGGGCTGCTGTTGGGAACCTCCTGGAGCCAAACCACTCCTGATGTCAACTCTTGGAAGGTCTTGCAGAGGTGGAGCAGCCCAACAAACACAGCTGGGACCTCAGGAAGTTCAGATTTACAGGCAGAAGGTGCTTGGAGGGAAGTGATGCTCTCTGTGGGGATGATTGATTTGGGTGTCCTACATGGTCACATATCACACTTGGGTTCCTGCATGGGGAAATCTGCTGGGAATGGCGGGCCCCCCTCCCACCAGAGCGGGTTGCTCAAGGCTCATCCACCCTGGCTGTGACCCCTGCCAGGGTTGGGGCAGCCACAGCCTCCCTGGGCAACCTGGGCCAGTGTCTCACCACCCTCAGAGGCAAAACTTCTGCCTAACATCTAGTCTAACTTTCCCTCTTTCAAGTTGTACCCAGGAGGGTAATAAATATTCCTCCTCCAGTGTTTAGAAAAGAAACCAGAGAGAAAAAGAAATGAACATTTAAGTCATCATTTGGTTCCTCCTCTGGTGATGCATCTGCTCTGAGTTTGAAACCAACGAGGTGATTTCTCCACTCAAAATCTGCTCCAGGGCTGGGAATTGGCAGCAGAGTGAGTGCCCTAGGTCATTGCTCCTGAACCCCAGGAAGGATTTAGCTGACAGCCAAAGCTCTTCCCGCAGGATTGTGGCTCCCCACTATGGCAACAACGAGAGCTTAACTGGGGAACGACCGTGTGGATGGAGACAGAGCTCAGCCTGGCGGAGGGTGGAGCAGGGTGGGAAGGTGATGGATGTGGCTCTGAGCAACCTGGGCTAGTGCAAGGTGTCCCTGCCCACGGAGGGGTTGGACTAGAAGACCTTTAAAGGTCTTTTCCAACACAAATCCCTGGGGAAAAGCAGGAGAGTTAACAATGGTTAAACCAGCAAAGTCCAGGGAATAGAATCCTGGGATTTTAGGGGTTGGAATGGAGCTTAGAGCTCACCCAGCCCCAACCCCTGCCCTGGGCAGGGACACCTCCCACCAGAGCAGGTTGCTCAAGGCTCAGCCAACCTGGCTGTGAACACTGCCAGGGTTGGGGCAGCCACAGCCTCCCTGGGCAACCTGGGACAGTGTCATCCTGGCAGCAAATCCCAAGCAGG